TTACGAACTTCGCCTCTACTGAAGCTGAAATATAGCATAATTTGGTAGTTAATTAATGTGGCTTATTAATACATTGCTATAATAAGTACATTATGTTATTTCTGTGGGACACTGTGTATAGTGTGAGTCAGTTCCCAGGAAATATATTTAGCATTTACAGATTGTGGAATGACTGTTTTACATTAAATAAATAAAAGATCTTAGGTGATGTAATTTTTATTTCCATTTTTAGAAGAAATAGCTAAAACTGTCTTTCCATTGTTTTGAAATTTGCTTCCTTACTCAGTGATATATAATGTATACACACACATGAAAATGTATCTATGTATACAGTCTATCTAGGTTAACCATCCATGGGTACTTGTATACCTGTGTATTTTGCATTTGCATGTAGTGTTGTATTAATGTCAATATGGGCTAGTTGGTTGATAGTGTTAAGATCTTCTGCATGCTTATCGTCTTCCCCCATTATGTTTTCTATGAATTACTGAGAAAGTGGTGTTAATACTTTCACCGATCATTGTGCCCTTGCCTATTTCTCTTTTGGTTGTGTTGACTTTTGCTTCATCTTACATTTAGGATTTTATGTCTTCCTGATGAATGACCTTTTCCCATTATGAAACATCCCTAATATCCTGAAGTCTGTATTGTCTGAGGTTAATGTAGCCATACCAGTGTTCTTATGCTAACCATTTGCATGGTATACTTTTTTCATATTTTACTTTCAATGTATCTGTGGCTTTATATTTAAAGAGAAGCTTGTGCAGATGGCATATATTTGAATCTTCCAGTCCAGCAGTCCACTCCTTTTATTTAGTATTCACTTGTATTTAATTATTATTATTATTATTTTAATTATACTTTAAGTTCTGGGATACATGTGCAGAACGTTCAGGTTTGTTACATAGGTATATATGTGCCATGACGGTTTTGCTGCACCCATCAACCTGTCATCTACATTAGGTATTTCTCCTAATGTTATCCTTCCACTAGCCCCCAACCCCCAACAGGCCCTGATGTGTGATATTCCCCACCCTGTGTCCATGTGTTCTCATTGTTAAACTCCCATTTATGAGTGAGAACATGTGGCATTTGGTTTACCGTTCCTGTGTTAGTTTGCTGAGAATGATGGTTTCCAGCTTCATCCATGTCCCGGCAGAGGACATGAACTCATCCTTTTTTTATGAATGAATAGTATTCCATGATGTGTATGTGCCACATTTTCTTTATCCAGTCTATCATTGATGGGCATTTGGGTTGGTTCCAAGTCTTTCCTATTGTGAATAGTGCTGCAAGATAATCCTTTAGTTATGTACCCAGTAATGGGATTGCTGGGTCAAATGGTATTTCTGGTTTTAGATCCTTGAGGAATCGCCACACTATCTTCTACAATGGCTGAATTAATTTACATTACCACCAACAGTGTAAAAATGTTCCTATTTCTCCACATCCTCTCCAGCATCTGCTGTTTCTTTTAATAATCGCCATTTTAACTGGCATGCGATAGTATCTCATTGTGTTTTTGATGTGCATTTCTCTAATGACCAGTGATGATGAGCTTTTTTTCATGTTCTTTGTCTGAATAAATGTCTTCTTTCGAGAAATGCCTGTTCATATACTTCACCCACTTTTTGAGGGAGTTGTTTTCTTTTTCTTGTAAATTTGTTTAAGTTCCTTGTAGATTCTGGGTATTAGCCCTTTGTCAGAGGGATTGCAAAAATTTTCTCCCATTCTGTGGCTTGAAATTCTCACTGCCAGCTGGTCGCCTTTCCTACTGGGAGTTCAGTAGGCTTAAGCAGATTCCATCTGAAAGGCTGTAAGACTCTGCGTGTTTCGGTATTGAGACACTAGGCCCCAGTGGCCTGGATTTTCAAGTGGGATCTTCTGATCCATGGGTTGCACAGTTCTATGGAGAAAGAACACTTTCCCCTGCTGGGTGGCATGCTCATTCACTGCCTCCCTTTGCTGGGGGGAGAAGGTTTTCCTCCCCTGTGTAGCTCTCAGGTGGGCCGCTGTACTACCCTGCCCTTCCTTCTGTCCATGGGTCATGCCAGCCTTCTAGTCAATTTTGATGAGAGAACCTGGATACCTTGGTTGCCAGTGAAGGATTCACACGCTTATTATGGTTTTTTTTGATAAGGGCCTCCAAGCCCTGCTGCTTCTACTCAGACATCTTGGCCCCACCACTCCTACTATTTTTACCTTCTTTCCTTTTCTTAATGAATTGTATTGAAACACGAGAATATAGTTATTTAATATAGAACTTTACGTGTTTCTGACTATAACATGTATGCCTACAGTATTTCCCCATTATAGTATTTACAATTCATATTTTATTAGGAATTTTTAAAAAGAAATTATACCTTTGCTATATCTTTCAAGATAATATTTTTTATTATTGATGTGATGAATGATATTAGTAGATCTGTTATTACTGATCCATAATTTCATTCTTAAAGTAAACCTTACTCAGTATATTATTATTTTACTATATGGTATCAGTCAAATTTCTCCATATTGTCTCTTTTAGTTTATGTTTTTTCTGCCTTTCCTGTGAAAGTACTGCCCATTCTAAGATTTTAAAAGCTAAAAACTTCCACAAATGGAAAAATAAACACTGTAACAAAAAATATATTGTCAGACTAGGAAAATATGTAACAGATATAACAGACAAATAATCAAAATCTCTCATATACACTTTGATAAGAAAAACCAAACTGAAAAGGGAAAAAGATTATAAACAGGAAATTTACAGAAGAATACACACAATATAAATAGAAAACCCAATTGTTTTTCCTTCTCATTCATACTCAACACAGAATACTTCACCTCTAGTTACCAAAGTAGGGGAGGGTTCCCACTTCCAACATTGACCAGTTCTATAACACCAGCTGGATCTCCTACAATTTAATCCAATTCTGATAATATATCCCTAGAGTTAGCATCAAATCCCATGGGTTAAGGGCTCAATTCCTCGAGATTGCCTCCACTTCAGATATTAATCAAAAGCCTTGATTGTGACCAGTACTTTTGTCTGACCAGCTATACATTGCCAGGGTGGGAAGTGGTGGGAGCACGACCCTCTCCTCAGGGTTGATTAATTTGCTAGAGCAACTCACATAACTCAGGAAAACACATTTACAAGTTTATTAATAAAGAATATAATAGACACAGATGAAGAGATATACAAGGCAAAGTATTTGGGAAGGGGTATGAAGCTTCCATGCCCTCTTGAGGGCACATCACCCTCCCAACACCACATTTTCCATACCCTGGAAGTTCTCTGAACCCTGCAGCTAGGGGATTTTTACAAAGGCTTCATCACATAGTCATTGAGATTATTCACTCAATCTCTAGCCCTTCCCCCTTCCTAGGAGAAAGGAGTTAGAACTGAAAGTTCCAAGCTTCTAATCATAGCTTAGTCTTTCTGGTGGCCAGCCTCTATCCAGGAGCCCACTAAGAGTCATCTCATTAGAACAAATAGAATCCTATCACCTAAGAAGTTCCAAGGGATTAGGAGCTGTGTGTCAGGAGCCAGGATAGAAGGTCAATTATTAGAACAAGAGATACATGTAGAACGCCTATCATTCAAGAAATTAAAAGGTTTTAGGAGCTCTGTGCCAAAAACTAGGGGTAGAGACCTATATCTAATTATTTCTCACACATGCTCATATACAAGTATGTATATTATTAATTTGAAGAAAAAAATGAGATGATAAAACACATGCAGTGTTGGCCATTCACTGTCACACACTGTTAGAGGAACTATAAATTCATATTATCTTTTGGGAGGTTACTTTTGCATCTTCAACCAAACATTTCACTCTAAACCTTCCACAATTTTAATTCCCCCCTGAAGAACCTCTCCTACAGATTACTGATGTTCCCACAGAATGTACATCTTCACTACAGCACTGTTAACTAGCACAACATTGGAACCAACCTAAATATCTACAAATGAAAAATGGTTTAATAAATTAACACTGTAATACCACATAGCTATTTGAAAAGAGAGATTTCAACGTAATGGCCTAAAAAGATGTTCATGATGAAGTGAAAAAAACTGAATAATAAAACTTTTGACATTTAATATATAAATAGAAGTACGATATAAAAGGATTTGCACCACACTGTTAAAAGTGGTTATCATTGGAGATGAGTCTGAGAGAGCTTAGGGTCAAATTTTCAACTTTTACTTTACATATATGTCTTTTTTTAGCAAGGATATAGATGATTTTTTAAATTTTCTCTTAAATTTTGTTTCAGTTTTTTAAAATTAAATAATCTGGCGTCTTTAATTTGCTAGATTTACATAAGATTTCTATATGTCTAGTCTTAAGTGAGACGAGTCTGTACGGTTTTTGGTGGGGGTGTGTGTGTGTGTGTGTGTGTGTGTGTGTGTATCTTTGTCCTGTGTCTGCAGGGTTTTTGGTGTGTGTGTGTGTGTGTGTGTGTGTGT